TGCTACAAGATTCTCAAGATGTCTGAGTTTTTCAACAATTGAAACTTCCTGTCATGTGCTATTCCTAAATAAGTGTGCCTCTGATAATTTTTAAGCTACAAAAGGCAAATGGATACCGCTCTTTAAGAATTAAATAACTGCCTTTAAGGAATAATGAATACATTATAAATACTTTTCCAAGTCTTCAACTTTTAAAGAAATATGCTCAATTATGTCTTTCCTGACAATTTGTCAAGAAATCTATAGTTTCCTGCTGTAAGGTCATTATTCTTATTTCTGGAACACAAGGCAATAATATTGAGGAGTTTTCTAGTTTAACTTTTTTTTAACCATTCAAATAAGTAATATTTAGAAATAGATCATGTGGGTTTGAAACAACATACCTAATATAGTTTTAAATGACTGGGTTAAATTGTCTGTTTAGGGAGAGGTTAAGGTGACATTGTTCTACATACATTCTAAGTTTACGAGGCCTAAAGTGAGAAGAATGAACTGTTATAAAATTTAAGGTTCTGGCTGTAGAAATGTTTTCAATTAAAGGATACTAAAGAGATTGGACAACTAATGAAATACCATATTAGAGTGGATGCTGGCAGAAAACAATTCTGTAAAGAACGCCATTGTATCAGTTGAAAAAACTGGAATAAAGGCAATATATTAAATAAAATTGAACCAGGCTTTTTCTTGTGGGACCACCAACCAGCTCCCAAATCATGACATAGAGACTTATTTTTAGTATGAATGCTCGGCCTAGCTTACTCACATTTCTGGCTAGCTCTTTTAACTTAAACTAACCTGTTTCTTTTTATCTACCTTTTATCTCAGGGCTTTCTACTTTTCTTTCTTCTGTATATCTTACTTTCACTGTTTTTCATGTCTGCTGGCTGGCGGCTGCCTGGCTTCTTGTCTTGGGTGTCTCGCTTTTTCTCTCCTTCTCCTTCTTTTCTCTCTTCTCTCTTCTCTTCTTCTTCTTCTTCTTCTTCTTCTTCTTCTTCTTCTTCTTCTTCTTCTTCTTCTTCTTCTTCTTCTTCTCTCCTTTTCCTATTTATTCTCTCTGCTGGCAGCCCCACCTATCCCTCTTCTGCTTAGCTATTGGCTCTTTAGATTTTTATTAGACCAATCAGGTGCCTTAGGCAGGCAAGGTGAAACAGATGCAACACATCTTTACATGATTAAGTACACATCCTTACATGGTTAAATAAGTGCAGCATAAGGAAATATAACACATCATCATGCAGTTAAAATAATATTCCACAGCATAAACAAGTGTAACACATCTTTGCCCAGTTGAAATAATATTCCACAACATAAAACAACTATATCAATCATATAAATGAACATACTCACATATTCTTAAATAATATATACTAAGATATTGAGGGACAAGGAACTAATATGTGAATGTTTTACAAATGATATAGAAAATATTATATCTCCTAAATATAATGGAGGATGGTGAGTTGCTCAGTAGTTAAAGAGCACTTACTGCTCTTGTAGAGGACCTGGGTTGGGTTGACAGGACACCCTGGTGGCTTACAACTGTCTGTGACTCCAGTTCCTAGGGATAGAATACCTCTTGTATGGTCACTGCATGCATGTGGTACACATGAACTCAGACAGGCAAACACATACACATAGGACTAAAAACTTGAATCTTTAAAAATTAATTTTAAAGACACAGGGATCGCCCAATGACAGAGAAATGGGTGAGATCTACATGAACAGCGTGGACATGAGTGGGGGAAATGAAGGGCAAGGGTCGAAGGAAAGAGAGCTTGGGGGAGCGGGAGATCCAAGCTGGATCAAGAACAGAAAGGGAGAACAAGGAATAGGAGACCATGGTAAATGAAGACCACATGAGAATAGGAAGAAGCAAAGTGCTAGAGAGGCCCACAGAAATCCACAAAGATATCCCCACAATAGACTGCTGGCAATGGTCAAGAGACAGCCCGAACTGACCTACTCTGGTGATGGGATGGCCAAACACCCTAATTGTCGTGCTAGAAACCCCATCCAATGACTGAGGGATCTGGATGCAGAGATCCACCGGCTAGGCCCTGGGTGGATCTCTGGGAGTTCAATTAGCGAGAAAGAGGAGGGTTTATATGAGCAAGAACTGTTGAGACCAAGGTTGGATAAAGCACAGGGACAAATAGCCAAACAAATGGAAACACATGAACTATGAGCCAATGGCTGATGGGCCCCCAACTGGATCAGGCCCTCTGAATGGGTGAGACAATTGATTGGCTTGATCTGTTTGGGAGGCATCCAGGCAGTGGGACCAGGTCCTGTGCTCAGTGCATGAGTTGGCTGTTTGAAACCTGGGGCTTATGCAGGGTCGCTTGGCTTAGCCTGGGAGGAGGGGACTGGACCTGCCTGGACTGAATCTACCAGATTGATCTCAGTCCGCGGGGGAGGCTTTGCCCAGGAGGAAGTGGGAATGGGGGGTGGTCTGGGGGGAAGGAGAGGGAGGCGGGAGGGGGGAGAACAAGGGAATCCGTGGCTGATATGTAGAACTGTATTGTATTGTAAAATAAAATAAAATAAAATAATTTTAAATACAATGTGTCATATATGTAAATATTTATGTATAACTCTAAGTAGATATGTGTATATATTGCATGCAGACACACACACACACAGAGAACATGGTTATATATAGCAAGATGATACAATGTTATGTGTACATGTATCCAAGGGTGTTTTGATAGCTGGAAATCATTCCTCATAGTTTATATTTTAGAAAATGAATCCATAATGTAACAGTGGTAAGTGAAGCTTCAAAAGATGATTTGATCATAGACCTATGGCCCCATGAGTGAATTTATGTTATTAACTTAGAATTGGATTAATTCTTGTGGCAGTGGGGTTTTTTTGAGACAGGGTTTCTCAATGTAGCATGGCTGTCCTGGAACTCACTTTGTAGACCATCTGGCCTTGAACTCAGAGATCCACCTGCCTCTACCGACTGTGTGCTGGGATTAAAGGTGTGCACCACCACTACCACTCAGTGTGGCAGTAGTTTTTGATGAAAGGATGAATTCAATACCTCCATCAACTTCCTTATATTTTTATCTTGTATTTCTTTTTCTACCCTTTTCATGGAATGATGAAGCCAGAAGGCTCCACGGTGTGCAGCCCTTTACTCTGGGATTCCTCAGCCACGGTATTATGAGCCGAGAACATTAATATTCTTTATGAACTCCTCAATCACAAGTGTTCTGTTTCAGCATCACAAAAGGAGCCAAGACAGGTAGTCTCTGGACTGTTCTTATTTGTTTCACTGAAACAAATTTTTATTTTTATTTGAGGTTGGATGGTTTAACAGTTAAGAGCAATTATGGCTCTTAGCACAGAGTTTGATTTTCTGCACCCGCACAGTGGTTTACAACCATTCATATTGCAGTTCTAGGGATCAGATGTCCACTTATGACCTTCACCAATACCGAGCATACATGTGGAGCACATACATACATTCAGGCAAAACACTCACATGAAAGAAAATGAATAAATCTAATAAAAATTTAAAAATTATTTATTCTTTGAAAATTTCATATGTAGATATGAAGTTTGATCATGTAAATCTCTCATTATTGAATCTTTTCTGTAAATTGCCAAAGAATTTCCAAATAAAAAGTTTTTAAAAATTCAATAATAAACATTCAGGCTTTCTCCTTTCCAGCATGTCTTACACGGCTTTAGGGATGGTGGAACGCTCTTCATCGTAATCAAATTGCTCAAGAAAATGTTCCAAGTAGAAGATAACATCCAGTAACATAACAGGAGACTCCTCAAACAAGCAGAAACACTTGGATCCCTTACAAGCTGGTGAAAAGCATCCAGCGGTGGAGATAGTCTCACTGAGCACTTACTCAAGGTGTTTTAGAGGTCATCAAAGGCAGGCAGATGTGAAAAGTGAGAAACGAAGACAAGGAAAGAAGCAGTGGAGGAATGTTCCCAGAGGAAGGAAGAGAGAGTTGTAAGGAAGTGCTGTGCTTCCGAGGGTGTTTGCTTTGTGTATTAATTTTTGCTCATTTGCTCCCACTTAATCCCCCGTCTACCAGTAACTCTAGACGGTGAACACTGCTCTTTGCTTTTACAGATACAGAATGCTTGATGCCCAGAATCTTCTAGACTAGTTAGACAGCAGCAGAACTGCATTTAAGCCAGTCTGGCTAACTTCAGAATCATTAACCACTACACTACACTGCCTGTTTAGTGTCTCTTGTGTGTAAAGATAAGCCCCTCACTCCAACAGCTCATTTCATTTTCTTTTTTGTTGTTGTTTTTAAAGTCAACCATGTCAACTTATTGGCATAGTCCATTTGTGAACAATACAGATATTTTTTTCACTTTTTAAGTTTTATTTTAATTATTTAATTGAAAATTTTATACATGTAGCAAGTCCACTCACACTCTTACTTTCTAGCTTCTTCCAGGAAGCCTCTCATAGTCCCTCTCAACTTCATATATCCTTCCTTCCTTCTCCTTCTCTCCCTCCCTCCTTTTCTTTTATAATTTAATTTAATTTTACATATCAGCCACAGATTCCCTTGTTCTCCTCCCTCCCTCCAACCGCCTTCCCCCCAGCCCACTCCCCATTCCCATCTCCTCCAGGGCAAAGACTCCCCTGAGGACTGAGATCAACCTGGTAGATTTAGTCCAGGCAGGTCCAGTCCCCTCCTCCCAGGCTGAGCCAAGTGTCCCTGTATAAGCCCCAGGTTTCAAACAGCCAACTCATGCACTGAGCACAGGACCCGGTCCCACTGCCTGGATGCCTCCCAAACAGATCAAGCTAATCAGCTGTCTTACTTATCCAGAGGGCCTGATTCAGTTGGGGATTCCTCAGCCATTGGTTCATAGTTCATGTGTTTCCATTCGTTTGGCTATTTGTGCCTGTACTTTATCCAACCTTGGTCTCAACAATTCTTGCTCATACAAACCCTCCTCTTTCTCACCAATTGGACTCCAAGTAAGTTTTTTTTTTCTTTTTACTCCAGGAGGTGAGCTTGGTCTCAATCTGCCATAACAGATCCCAACACAACTCACTTTGAAGGTAAAGAAGTTCATGCTTCAGTCAGGGTTGATAATTTCCTCCTTGCTTTCATAATTTGTATGACACAAGACTTCTAGGTATTTGCTTTGAATTTGGTCTTCAGGGCATTCTCTCTCTGCTTTTGTAGCTGGTTCCAGCTTGTCCCCAATATGCCAATGACATTGTGCTTATGAGCACGAGCATGGGGCAGTACCTCTGGGTCACTGAAAAATAGGCTCATCCTAGCCCAGCTAACGGGAGGTACGAACTAAGTAGTCTTGTAACAGTGTCTTGGAAGGCCTGTCAAGAGACAGAATGGGTAAAGAGATCTGAAGAGCACCCACCCTAACGTCGGTTGTTCCAGTATTAATAAAGAATTGGTGCCGTGTCTTGGGGAACAACTTCTTCAGTTTGTCTCGTGCTCAATGCCAAAAGAAGCATTTCTAAGTCTCATGTGGTCCCATGTAGTTCCAACTCCATTTCCTTCCCTCACAGACATGCACAGTGGGGTGTAAAAAGTGGTTTGGGGGCCAAATGCTACAGTATGGATGGAAAATCATTGCCTCATGCCCAAGCAGCTGTAGACTCCTTGGTATTATTCTTTCTTCTCTGTTATAGAAGCCAAGAGAAATTGTCTCTCTGGGATGATGGGCAGTTCATTTAAGGAGCTTCAAGAACCATGGGGCCATGGGTTTGACTGCTAGCTTTTGATGAGTGAAGAGTCAACAGTCTCATTATAGATGGAGATCTTTAGATAAATATATCTAACAACACATAAAACCAAACCACAGTTCAACCACATTTCTATCATAGGTATGGTTTGAAAGTTCACCTCTCCTTTTCAAAGGTTATTTTAGAACCTTTGGAAAGGCTTAAATTTAGGTGGAAGATTATTAGTTCCATTTTCTTTATATGTGAAAGCTAAGTTCATCATTCCCTAAGTCCTAACTAGAAGACCATTGGCCAAACCAGCTGTTACTGAATAAACAGCCCATTAACATTTCTTTTGGTTATAAGAAATAATCAGGCCATCCTGGATCTTAATGTTCTTACATCTTTTCATTTACTGGAGTTCAGATCCTTTTACATAGATAACATATCTCATGTATCAAAATGATTTTTTCCAAAGAATTTCCATTGTAGGTCCTAATAATAATCTCTAAATATTAGATTAAATTGTACTGTGGTTACATAGTTTATTTTTAAATATGCTAAAACATTTTCTGAGTTAGATATGGTAACACTGGTATCATCCTTGCGGTCAAGATCATCATAATCTAAAATGAGAGTCAAGGAAATGTTTTAATACCACCCAGTAATGCAAGCAATTATGGCTTCTGTCACAGAAGTTGGCTGCTTTTTCATTCCAGTGAAAATATCTAACACAAAATCAGAACAGTGAAATCAGAGTTCCTCTTTAAAATTTGCTTCTCATGGGCGGGAGAATGGAGAGGATATCTGGGGTCAGAGGGGAGGAAGCTCTTCCCATTTCACTGAGAGGTATGAGTAATGGCACCTGTCTTGAATAATTTGAGAAGATGGAGCATGTTTTGGAAACAGAGCTGCTGCAAAGCGGTAGCAGCTGGAGGACTGGACTCACATTCTAAACCAGTTCAATAGGATGGATGGACAGGGGTGGCTCTGAGGACTCTGGGACAGGCTAGGATTTTCTGTTCCTCACCTGTAGAACACAGTGGGCAAGGGAAGGGGAAACACAGTTAGTTCTTGGGGTATAATTTTTATGTTCAGAGCCAGAATGACTAAAAGGAGATACAGCCAAGGTTTGCTTCTCACAAGAAATATCAACTAATTAAGGAAAGAAAAGAGTGATTTGCTACATGTTTACTTTATGTAGAAAAGCATTCTTTGGAGAATTGGAACTTTTCCACATATATATATATATATATATATATATATATATATATATATATATATATATATATAAATGTGACTTTTACTGAATGGGTTTTCAGCCAAAAAAAAATGTAGTTGGCTTTTTAAAAGGTGGTTATATGTGATGAGTGAGGAAAATTATGTCATATTTTATATATTGTGTATTTCAATGAAGAAATCATGAATTGGATTCAAGGACTAGTTAGGTCAAAGTTTTGGGAAAAATCTCCCAGATGTGTGGCTGAGTATGAGCACACCTAAAAAAGATTTTAAACATTAAAGTCTAGACATCAAGCTAGTCTTAAACAGGTTTAATTTTTCTTCGAAAGACTGAAGAATAACGTCTAGGAGGTAAGCTTATTGAGGGGAGTTAGGAGAAGCCCGTTCTACACAAAGGCCAAAGTCAACTCCTTCCAGTGAAGTTTTAGAATTGTATAAAGAAAGGGATAAAATTGTCTGTAAGTGCAAGTGGAAACAGTCACTAGGATAGGAATCATCACATCAAAATAAGAATTTATTGCAGCTAAATGTGTTTCATTATCGAGTAGTATTCTAGACCTAAATGGAACAGCAGATAACCTATACTGAAGAGTTTCCTAGAGCATTCCTTCCTTGTCTTCTCATGCTCTCACATCTGGACTTGTTTATATATGAGAAGTGAGGTGTAAATGCCAAAGGTTACTGGACTTTCTGTGCTATCAGCCAGAGCCACAAGGAAACCTTGAGTTCAGAGGGGCTGCTTTCCATGGTCTGACTGGTCCATGGGAAAGACTCCAGGGCCCTGGTCAATGTTTGTCCCTAGCACTTCTGTCTCCCTTTGTTAGAACCTTCTCCAGCAGTCATTGTCATCTTTTGCTACTGGGATCTCAACAATAAAAAATGATCTCTTACTTTTTTGGTATCTTTTAATTTTATAATCATTTTACTTAGAGTTTTCAAACACTTCCACCCAACTCTATATAGTCTTCTTCGGTACACTGAGGTCTCATTGCAGCTTGCGTTTACATTTCTCGGGTGGGGAGTGATAACTCCTTTATCATGTGTAGCATAAAGGCTCGTCTGAGATGTGTTCCTCTTTATTTTTTTAAAATGTGGTTTTCATTGTGTGAAGTTCTCAAGGAAATAATACAGAATCAGAAAAAGTACAAATAAATGACTTACTAATATGACTCGATTTAGAAAAATAAGAACAAACCAAATCCAAATCCCGTGGTCAGGAAGAAATAAAAACCAAAGCAGAAATGAATGAAATAGAAACAAAGAAACTAGTACACAGTTTCAAGAAACCTAAGAGCTGGTTCTTTGGGTAAATAAACAAGATTGGCAGGCCTTTAGTCCAATTATTCAAAAGAAAAAGATGACCCAAATTAACAGAATCAGAAATGGACAGGGAAATATGATGACACCAAAGAAACTGGGAATATCTTAAGGAAGAGTTTAAGGACTAACACTCCACTAGGTTAGAAAACCAGAATGGAAGGGACACTCTCATAGTTTTCTGAAATAGAGCTGACACTGTAATAGTCTCATAGACAGTTTCTGAATAAAAAAAATGAAGTGGCATAACATAGAAGCTGACTGGAATATTTATATATGTCTGCATCCAGTGTCAACACATGACTGATGTTTAGTTTCTACTAGGTCAAACAATGAGGGTGTCTTAGTTAGGGTTTTCTGTTGCTATGAAGAGACACCATGACCACGGCAACTCCTATTAAAAACAAAAAACAAAAAAAAATTTAGTTGAGGGTGGTTCACTTACAGTTTCAGAGGTTCAGTCTATTACCATCCTGACGGAGAGCATGGCAGCGTGCAGGCAGATGTGGTCCTGGAGCTGAGAGTGCTACATCTTGCAGGCAACAGGAATCGACTGACTTGACTGACTGTCTCACTGAGGGAAGCTTAAGAAAAAAAAAGAGATCTCAAAGCCCCGCCCCCACAGTGATGCACCCAACAAGGCCACACCTCCTAATGGTGCCACTCCCTTTGGGGGCCATTTTCTTTCAAACCACCACAGAGGATTCTATCTTAAATGTGCATCAGTTAAAAATAAACTCATTTATTACTTTATGGGCATTGTATCTTATATAATTTTAACAAAGAAATATAATTATTTTATATATATCTGCATTAGGAAGTGTATTTTTACTACCAAATGTATTAGATGATAAGGAAAATTTTTTTTCAGTAGTGTTGAGTTTGGAGAGTTCTCTGTCTTTTAGATAGGTGGGTAATAAGACAGCTTTGTAGGCATTTTCTCTCAGTATGTGGTGCTTTTTAATTTTCTTTGTGTATATACACATTCTCATCTGATAGCTATTTTTGTCTAAAAAATTTCCTATTCATTTTCTTGAGTAACGTTATATGTAAAAATGCCACTATTTCTCATTTGTTTGAGAAAGCCTTTATCTCTCTGTTTTAAAGCTTATTTTCACAGGTTACAGAACTCTGACGGTCTCGGTGTTCCTAGCCTCGTCCCCAGTCCTGCTTTTGCGTTGCCTGCTGCTTCACTAGTTTTAGTGAGTAACCCACTGTCTAGTTCATCTTTCTTTGGCATGCTGCTTTCCAAAAATCTTTTTAAAATTTTTTTTAATTTTTAATTTTTTGGTTTTTTGAGACAGGGTTTCTCTGTGTAGCTTTGCTCCTTTCCTGGAACTCACTCTGTAGCCCAGGCTGGCCTCGAAGTCACAGAGATCCGCCTGGCTCCTGAGTACTGGGATTAAAGGCGTGCGCCACCACCGCCCAGCTGCTTTCCAAAAATCTTATATGGCTTTTTTTTTTTTTTGAACATTTGGATTCCCGCATTGGTCAGGGTGTGGATTTCAGTAAATTGTTTTTCACTACTCAATTATCTGTCATTTATTTTGGGAAGTTCTTTACCAACTTTCTTCAAAGAGTTCATCTTCCCTATCCACTCTTCTCTTTTAGGGTTCCATTTATGTGTGCTACAAATGTTTCTGTCTCACAGATCTCGAAAGTTTTGGTATGTTGTTTTTCTCATTTTTCCTCTTTTCTGTTTCAGCCGTAATAAAAATGTCTCTCCACCTGTGATTGGATTACATTCCAATAAATATATCATAAGTTAAAAATATAGGTAATATTTCTGTGTAATGCAGCCACCCTAATGAACATCATTACTTACTTAGTAACACAATATATTATAGAGTTCTAGTTGCTTCCCTGGAGCCTGAGTGTTAACTGGGAGCTGTGGCTAACTGTCACTGACCAGCCTCACAAGGAAATGTACTTGCCTGGGGAAGAACAAAGGCTGAAATTTGAAGTACAGTTACTATTGGACATGCATCCTCTTCATACCACTGTAAAGTTTAAAACTAGCTGAGCCATCCTAAATGGGGTTGTTTGTCGTGTCTATGAATGTCTACCAATTACCCTATGCATTCGTTAGCAAACCTGAACCTTCTAATGACCCCTCAGGTCATTCTTTAGCTCTGTTCAGTTGTTTTCAATTTTTAGTATTTTCCTTGGATTCTTTTTGATCTTCCTGCTTAAATTGTTTATTTGATCTTGGATGATGCCTTGATTTCACTTTTTGAAGAGCATTTACTGTGCTAATAGTTGTTATTTAAGAAAAAATAATTTCCTACATGTCTATTACAGTTAAGTCTGGTTCTGAGGAGAATTCTGTGTTTTCTTCCCTTTTCCTATACCTCCTAACATTTTTTGAAATGCAAGCATTACATATATGACACTGGAAAAATAGGCACACAGTTCTTATGCTTGAATAAGCATACCTTTTCTTTTGGTTAGGTATTTCGTGTGAGAATTTCAGTTAATTTGGGAGTTGAGATAGGCTTAGTGTTTGTTTTGTTGTGGTTATCTTCAGTGTCCCAGAGGTTTCAAATTTCTTAGTGATACCTTGTGTTTAGTGTGAAGGCTCCAGTTTTACCTTGAACTCCATTAATTCATCAATCATCATAACCTGGAACATTACTGGCACACAGTCGCTTTTAAAGCATCCAAGCAAAAGCTCAGACTTGCCCTCTTTCAGCAAAAAGGAGAGTAGAAGTCATATGGAAACCTACTAAGTGTAATGTAACTCAATTAAAGAACACAATTAAAATATATAATAGACTTAAAAAGAGAGAGAGATTGAAGGGAGGAGCTCCGCGTGGCTGGATAATGTAGCTCCTCGAAGCCATGGGTCACTAACCAAAACCCCAGTGTGAGATGCTTGGTTTCAGGGGTACCAAAGAGACATCAAGTTTTTGCTATTCCTCTTAGCTGCTCACTGGAACTAGATGCTAAGAAACTGTTGCTGAAGATGGTGCACAACTTTGGTTTCAACAAATGGACAAATCAACCTGGAACTAAGCTGGAAGCTTTGCTCTGCTTGCTAACTTTCAGAGTGCAAAGACATACTGTTTGGGCTGCTGGAGGAGAAAAGTCATCAGCAGTCTAACTCAGCTTAGACCCTACGAGATACAATATTGACCTTCCAGGTAAGATGTATGCTACCATTGGTGCAGTAGTGTCATGGATGTTATAGAGGTAGCCCACTGCTTTCTGATTGGATTTTCCCCAGTCCACAGGAAGAACTCACACACAGTCCTGTAGACCTGGCCAAAGCGCATGCTTGGGGAGATGGTAGACCTTAGCGGGGAACCTAGTACTTTTGTGTTGTTAAGTGGACATGATGTCAGACTGCCCTCTAAATATTTCTAGTCTATTCATAGATTAGTGCTACTCTCAGACTCAGTCAGAGAAGCTTCTGTTTGGGTGATAGTTAATGAGGAGACTTGTTACTGGTCAATTTGTTGAAACCAAGCAGCTGTTGAATTCTCAGCCCCTCACCGGACAATAATAGCACTCACCCTAGGCTTAGGGAACATCACAGAAGAGAGGATAGAACAGTTCTAAGAGCTGAGGGGTGGGAAGAAGTCAGTAAAATGTTTTCTTACGGACATGCCATGGCTGTGGCAAATGAACTCACAGCAGTTTTCAATAAGACTGAACTCATCAACGTTCCATAGTAGATGAGACAGGATACTCATAAGATACCCTCCTGGAACATTTATTGACCATCTGAAGTTGTGCAGGAGGGGGTTTCATATTCCTTACTTGTGTGGCCACTGGTCCATTGCTCAGTTCCAAATAAACAACAAGCCAGCATGCTGATGCAGGAAACCCTAGTTAAGCACAGTAGGTATATATACAAAACGGACACACACATGAAAATAAAAAGAGGACTTGGGAAAATCAAGGGGCTTTGTGGGAAGGGGAGGATGATTAGAGAGGATAAAGGGAGACTTTAAAGAATATTATACATATATATATATATATATATATATATATGCATTATGAAATTGTGTTGTCCAGTGCAAATTGTTAGTAATGAACACATACACACAAACAATGTTATATGGACTAAATAGGTTTTAACTGAGAATATAGATGTATATACTTGTAGATATGTGCATGCAATAACAATTAATGAAAGAGGAGACCACATATTTGCAGGAGAGTGGGGAAGGGTATATAGGAAGGGTTGGAGGAAGAAAAGGGAAAGAAGAAATGATGCAATTATATTATAATTTCAAAAAATTTGATAAATGTAAAAAGAAATTGTGAAAGAAAAAATCTATTTTTAAAAAAGGAAAATCAGTTTTGGAATACAAAATAAAAGCATAAGTCAATATTAAACATTTCTCTCATCAATATTAGTGGGTTCAATGTGACATTTCCATAAATACATACAGTGCGCGCTGGACAAAGTCAACCTCAGTTTTCTGTATGTCTTTTATGATGTCTGTGATTCTACTTGCAGATCATTTTTTTTAATTTCCATGTATGAGAAAGAATATGTGGAGCTTGTCTTTGTATGTCTATCTTATTTCACTTAATGTCTTCAAATTCCATCCATTTTCCTGAAAATGACGTGACTTCACTTTTTTTAAATTTAATTTTATTTTATTTTGCAATATAATTTAGTTCTACATATCAGCCATGGATTCCCTTGTTCTCCCCCCTCCTGCCCCCTCCCCTTCCCCCCAGCCCACCCCCCATTCCCATCTTCTCCAGGGCAAAGACTCCCCCGAGGATTGAGGATTGAGATCAACCTGGTAGACTCAGTCCAGGCAGGTCCAGTCCCCTCCTCCCAGGCTGAGCCAAGCGTCCCTGTATAAGCCCCAGGTTTCAAACAGCCATCTCATGCACTGAACGCAGGACCCAGTCCCACTGCCTGGATGCCTCCCAAACAGATCAAGCCAATCAACTGTCTCACCTATTCAGAGGGCCTGATCCAGTTGGGGACCCCTCAGCCATTGGTTCATAGTTCATGTGTTTCCATTCGTTTGGCTATTTGTCCCTGTGCTTTATCCAACCTTGGTCTCAACAATTCTCGCTCATATAAACCCTCCTCTTTCTCGTCAATTGGACTCCTGGAGCTCCACCTGGGGCCTAGCCGTGGATCTCTGCATCCAGATCCCTCAGTCATTGGATGGAGTTTCTAGCATGACAATTAGGGTATTTGGCCATCTCACCACCAGAGTAGGTCAGTTTGGGCTGTCTCTCGACCATTGCCAGCAGTCTGTTGTGGGGGTATCTTTGTGGATTTCTGTGGGCCTCTCTAGCACTTTGCTTCTTCCTATTCTCATGTGGTCTTCATTTACCATGGTCTCCCTCTCTGTTGTTGATCCAGCTGGGATCTCCCACTCCCCCAAGGTCTCTTTCCCTCGACCCTCGCCCTTCATTACCCCCACTCATGTCCAGGCTGACTTCACTCTTTATGACTGAATAATTCTCCACTGGGTATCTACACTACATTTTCTCTATCAGTTCGTCTGCCGAGGAGCACTCTGGCTGATCTCAGCTATTGTGAATAGTGCCGCTATAAACACATCATCTTGGGAAACAGGGTTTATTTCCTTTGGGTGTATGCCCAGAAATGAGAAGGTTGGGTATAGCCATTTGTCTGCAGGTTTTTGAGTGATCTCCATATGCTTATCCATACTAATTTATAATCTCGTTAGTATTGTTTATGGTTCTGCTTTATTTACATCCTTGACAGCCTTGTTTATTTGTTTGCTTACGATTTTCATTTTTTTTTAAAGGAAGGGTCTTGCTTTGTAGCTCATGCTGACTGAAAGCTTGTTACCCTTCTGTTGGCCTCCCAATGCCGGGATTGATTGTACATCACCATGCCAAGTTTATTTTTTTATTTTTATTTTTTTGGTGATACCTGTTCTTGCTAGAATGAGATGATGTTTTGTTATGGTTTGATTTGTGTTTATATAATAGCTAGCAATTTTGAGTGTTTTCCATATATTTTCTGACCATTTGTATTACCTCTTCTGAGAAGTGTCTATTTTGTGCACTGTAAATTGGACTCTTTGCTTTTGGCCACTTTAAACTTTTCTTCTGGCAATCTTTCTACTCTCTCTTCCACGAGGAAGAGGTGGAGAGATGAGATATGAATGTACCATTTAGGGCTGGGCACTTCATATTCTTTTATTCTCGGCACATCCACCAGTCAGGGATCTCTGTGTTACTTGCCATTTACTGCTAAGAGAAGCTTCTTCGGTGAGGGTGGAGAGATGCTGTGATCAATGGATGTAAAGATGAGTCATTATCAGTCATTTGAACACTATGTCATTCAGCAGAGTGATAGGGTTCTCCTCTAAGGCTGAGAGGTGGTTAATACCATCAAGGAAATTGTTCTCCAGACACAGCAGGGCAGATGCATAAGCAAACTCACCGCACTTGTGACAGCATGCAGAAGAGCTGCAGAAGTTCCAGTCAGAAAAAATCCCCACATAGAGAAAGGAAGGTGGACATGAAATTCCACCTCTCTCTGGAGAGCTGTTGAGAGTTGGTAGCAGCTAGGAGAGAGCACATAGTTTTCTTTAATGGTGTGACCCTTGGTAAGTTTACCACACACAAGAGCAAGCTCCATTCCCAAGATAAGCTTGGGAAGCACAAACTGAACTTGATAAAGAAAGAAGAGAGGAGGAGGAGGAGAAAAAAGAAGAAGGAGGAGAAGGAGAAAAAAGGAGAAGGAGGAGAAGGAGAAAGAGGAGGAGGAGGATGGGGAGGAGGAGGAGGAGGAGAAGAAGAAGAAGAAGAAAGAAGAGAAGAAGAAGAAGAAGAAGAAGAAGAAGAAGAAGAAGAAGAAGAAGAAGAAGAAGAAGAAGAAGAAGAAGAAGAAGAAGAAGAAGAAGAAACATTAGGTAGGAAGAGATGGGAAGGAGAAAGATTGGTAAGAAGATGAATTGAGGGAAGAGGGGTGAAAATGTATAAAATATATTACATGGAATGCATGAAGAATTAATAAAAATATCTCTGAATTTTTTAACATACTTGATATTGACCCTTTGTCAAGTGTATTTTCCCTATTGAACAGATCACTTTTATACTCTGGTGGTTGTTTGCTATGTAGGAAACTTTTTAGTTTGATGCAATCCTATTTTCCAGTTTTTGCTTTTCTTTCCTAGGCTTTAGAATTCCAGAAAATCCTTGCCTGTACCAATGTCTTGAAAGACTTTCCCTATATTTTTTCTACTAGGATCAAAGTTTCAAATCTTGTATTTGGGTTTAATATATCTTGAGTTGTTTTTGTTATATATGAAGGTTATAGATTTAGAAAGGTTATGTTTCAATTGTCTACATGTAGATATGTTATAAGGTTTCTAAGCAACATTTATTGAGATCCAGTCCTTTCTCCAATGTATGTTTTTGACACCTCAATCAAAAAAATTTCATGTTTTCATTAAACAACTCTTCTCAAGGTTTAGAGGGCTATGAGGAAGAGGAGGCAGAAAGATTGTAAAATCCAGAGGTGCTAGATAACCTCAAGGAAACAGTGTCTTCCAGACACAACATGCCTGAGGCACATATGTGCTAACAGAGACAGTGGTAGCACGTGTAGGGCCTGTGTAGGTTCAAGCCAGATAGAGTTCTGGTATTGAGAGGGGCAAGTGGACACTGGTCCCTGTTCCTAACCAAGTGGACACTGGTCCCCGTTCCTAACCAAGTGGACACTGGTTCCTACTCCTAACCAAGAAACTATCTCCAAATGATATCTGTTTGTAAAGAAAAAAAAAATAGCTCTTTCTGATGTAGTCTTACTGGGCCTATTAACCAACTAACCCACTTAATGGTAGGCCCCATGCCTAGAAGCAAATGGCCAGCAGAAACCCTACTCAATTGTACTTTTGTAGACTTTTTGTAGCATAGCTCTCTGCTTGTGCTTTTTGTTTTGTTTTACTGGCCTTTTGCTTGTATATTATGGTTACTGATTTAGTGTTTTTATGGATTTTTTTGAGTTGTGTGTGTGTTTTTCCTTGTTTTTCTTTTTTCTTTTATTTTCTTTGCGTACTTATTTGTTTTCTAAAAAGAGAAAGAGAGAGGGTATGGAATTGCGTGGGCTTCAAAATTCCGATTCTTTAATAATTTCAAAAAGCATTATGAACTGAAATCTTTTATGGCTATTTTCATTATAAAGACTGAGAAAGTAATATTCCTTCCAGCTAAGATTGCCAAATAAAATACAACATATCCAACTAAATTTTAATTTCAGATAAATGATGAATAATTCTTAGGGTAAGTGTATTCCAAAGAATTTTTTCTTTTAAATACTCTTCTATGCTTTTATTCACTAAATTTGTCAATCTGAGCTCCCTGTGATGCTGATTTGAAAGTGCAAGTTTCAACATTTTCCCTTGCTTTGCTTTATCTTTTTTCCTCTGGTGTGTATGTGTGTGTATGTGTGTGTGCGTGTGTGTGTGTGTGTGTGTGTGTGTGTGTGTGTGTGTGTGTGTGTTCCTTCACAAGAAATTTCAATCAATGAAGTGCAGTCAAGAATATATTTTAAAAAGGAGTTGAAAGAATGCACGAATGAAGACAAAGGATGAAGTAATTGTAGCATTTGAGGTTGCAATGTTGAACCTTATTTTTCACTTTTGAAAACTTTTCTATCACTTTTTCCAAACGTAACATATAAGCGGAATAGAAATGAATGTTTAGTGATCAGATCTCTGTATTTGTTCCACTTTCTCAGTAATGATGTGGTTTGTAGTGGGTAGCTATTCCAGCTTTGGTCTGGAAGTTCCAACCCCCATTGAGGCTTTGGTAACTGTCACGCCTACAAGGCGGGGCTAAGAGAGGGCCCTGAAGACCCGAGATCCAGATGCGCTGCCCTCTCTTGTTTTCCTGGACCCTGGACGCTAGAGGCAGACTGAGGAGAGTTCTCCAGAGAACACCGCCAGACTGTGCTGCGTCTTTCTCAGAACCTGCAACCTACCTATCCCTTCATTTTTAAGTTACACCACTAACTAAATCTCCCTTTTAACTATGTGGAGTGGCCTTAATAATTTCACCAATAGTGGTTGTTCGTGCTTTGTCCTCATGGACTGTCCTAGAAGCTCTAAGTAGTGATGGGCACTCCTCTGAGAAATTTGTATAACACCTTCACTGTGATTTTGTAAAGCCCTGAGATGAGAGACAGAAGGATTGTTGAACATTACCTCAGTCTGTTTATGTCAGGATGGGTATATCAGGTGGTGTTATGACTTATGAATCTGTGAAAGAAACCTGAGTCAGTATAAGACATATCTGTTTTGGTTAAAGAGATCTGCATTGCAGAAATGAAATAACATTCATTTTTTTCATGCGCCAACAATCCACTGGCACATTTGTTTATGTCTGTGTGTGGCATGACTCTATTATACAGAACTTTTCTAGACTTTCTAAGGTGCAGGAAACACACGGTTTGGCTGAACATGGATAAGATACCACTGGAGACAGAACCGTATTATTTTCCATTGTGTTTCTTGTCTCACAAGTTTTTCATAGCTGTTGGTATTTCCATGTGTGACTCAAAGATATCTCCTGTCTTTCCAGATATTTTAGTATGCCAAAAGGCAGTGGTGGAGCCACTGGATGGAAAAGATGTCAAGAAGCACCAAGATGTTATCCTAATGTGCAGTTCTTTATGTTTCTTCTTCTAGATGAGATGAGGAAAGAAGACCCATTTTTACAAATAAAGTTTTATTGGAACAAAGCCATACACATTTATTTTTGTATTGTCTGCATTTCTGTTCCTTAAGGACAAAGTTCAACTATTGTAAGAAAGAGTCTATGGTTCACAACCATATTTAGTTTCCTGTCCATTAGAGTTTGCAGATCTCTGTTTTAGACAAAAGACAAAGAAAGATAAGAACAAATTTACACATAGCCACAGGCTATTGTGTGACTCATTAAGTTTCCACAGCAAAGTTGTTGCTATGTGAAAACTGTTTATTTATATTTAAATTCTTCAGAAGGCCCCAAGTGGCTGTGAAAGACTCAGAGGGAATTTGAATACCCTTTTCAGACTGGCTTGGAAAAATCTCCTCAATCTCTTTTCTGCTTCCATCCTTCATTAGTCCTGGGATAAAAGACAGAAGGGGGGGGAGAGAGAGAGAGAGAGAGAGAGAGAGAGAGAGAGAGAGAGAGAGAGAGAGAATTAAACATTTTATCTCAGCATGAGATTAGGAAGGGAAGAGGGAGCACTATGTAGTTCAACAATAATTACATTTCTTGGGGGCATCCTTTATTATGGTTAGAAACTTTGCCAATGATTTTATGTGAGAATTATTTTATTTCTGAATTAGGAAATGCTGAAAGAACATTATGCTTTTCTTCTTAAAAATATAGAATTTCTGGAAGTATCGTTATGAAATGCTTTCTCTCTTTGTCGGAGAGGAGAGAGAGAAGGGGTGAGGAGGGGTGGAGAGGGGATTATTAATTGCATTTGAGACAAAGCCCATGTGATCGCTGTCTGGGCTTTGCTTTTCTGTGGGAAGCTGTCAGTGCACAAACTCATAGGAACGAATCATGTTTTGGAAACTGGCTGAATTTTCTGCACCACTTGGAGTCTGGCTACAGCCATCCAGATATCTGATTCAGCAGAAAGAGCAGATGTTCCTTTATTTATACTTTAAAGATATATAACAAAAAGATTAATGGAGACTCAAACTCATGGCACGGAATTAACTTAAACAAATACATTTGCTCAGTCTTTTCCTTTGGTGTATGGGAGGCAGATGTGTTGCAAACATTTCATGTTGTTTACTCTGCTTTGATCCAAGTGTCCAGTACAGTGGGTTGTGAGTTGTGATTATATATATATATATATATAATGATAATGTCCACTAGAGAGACCATTGGGCTGAACACATTTATACTTGAGGCAAGAAATGGCATGAATAAAGGAGTCATTGTGTTTTAAGCCAAAATGAATATAATTTTACTAGAAATGCAAAAAGAAAATACTTCTGTAATTCCCAAGAATCAGAGAGCCATTAACACCTTAGTCCCCCCTTGACCATCTGTCACCAAGGTAATAGACCAAATAGTTTAGTTCAGGCTCATCAAGGACAGTTGAAAGCAAGAATTCGAATGGTAGTTTTCTTTGTAAAGTAACTTTTTTGTAGAAGAGGTTAACTGGAGAAAAAGAAAGCCAACGAAAGACACATAACTGTTGGCCAGTGCAGCGATAAGTGGATTTTGTTCACACTGGGTTTTGTATGGACTACATATTAGAATTATCCTTCTGTGTGACAGAAGATGGGAGAGGCTCCTAGTTCCTATCCCAGGAAGAGATACCCAGAGGCCAGTGACTCTGTTGTATGATCTGGTTTGCTGATGAGTAATGATGAGTGAATTCCCACAGGAGGCCGATACTCTGGTGTCTGAAAGGTGGACTCACAAAGTGATAGGCAGCGGGAACAGGCCAGGGAAATTGCTCTTAATGATGGAAACATGTACTATGAACATGTTAGGTCAAGTCAGATGAGTGCATCAGGACTGTCTACTGCAGTTGTTGATAATTTGATAACAAACCCCCAAAACTGATGATTTGAAGAACGATCTCCTATCTCCCAATTCTAGAGGACAGGAACCAATGTATAGCTTAGCCAACTCATTCTTCTCTCTCAAATAGTACTCAAGATCTCAGTCAAGCAGCAACTATCTCAAGGGTCTGTTTGGAGGATACCTGCCTCTTCTAACTTAAGCAGGTTTCAGAAAAATTTAGTTCCCTGCGGGGTGTTCTTGTCGTTAATATGGAGTATAGTTAAGTGGAGACTCTGGGAGGTGCACACTTAGAATAAAAAGTCTCTTACTAACTTTACTTTCTTAATTTCCTGCTTTGGTTAGTCTAGCTATTTCTAAAAAGAGTTTCAAAGAAATTATGTTGTAAATCATAGTAAAGGGAAATGAAACTTAACCTCATTATCTCCAAAAATGATAGTGTAAATCTAAATACTGACTCCTATATAGTATCAATAATAGCATTTTCTTTAGATTGATGTACTGAAACCCCAAGATTTATAATTAATCTAGCCAGTGATGTTATTATTATTAGTTTTAGTTTTAGTTTATCCAGTTATCACTCACTTTTCGGTACAATGGCCAAATGTAGATAATCTCTTTGTGGTAGTTTGAATGAGAGTGGCCCTGGAGGCTCATGCTTAGCTCTCGGTTGGTGAAGTGCTTGGAAGGATGGGGAGCTATGTTCTTGTTGGAAGAGGTGTGTTGCTGTGAGTGGGCTCTAAGGTTTCTAAAGCTAGCGTCATATCCAGTGTTGCTCTCTCTGCTGCCTGTGGATCAGGATGCAGCTCTCAGCTACTTCTCCAGCACCATGCCTGCCCACATGCCACCATGCTCCCCGCCATGATAGGCCTGACAATCTGAAACTGTAAGCCAGTGTCCAATTAAATGTTTCTTTTATAAGAGTTGTCTTCATCATGGTGTCTCTTCATAGCAATAGAACAGTGACTAAGACACGTTTGATATGAGTCCAGTTATAGAATTACATGCTCAGATGGCCCTCTAGATATATCAGTTATGAGGGACAAAGAGTATAGAGAGTTATAAAACCCATCAATAAAACCAAATGTCTGAATATTCTGCATTCAGTTGAAACCCAGGGAGGATATATAATACCGAGAACACTTTCTTTATTTTTCCAAAGAATATGTAGTCCTGGACATCACTTTAGCAGTTGTTTTGGAATGGAACGTTCTATAAGACATCAAGTTGAATACAGTAGGTGCATATGAATTTACATGAAAAGGTCTGCGTGATATGAAGGGGGAATAGACTGGAAAACAACTGATGGATTCTTGGGGAGGGCCAATAATTGTCTTCAGCTGTGTATCCACTGATGGGCTCCTATGTATACTATGAAACCCATGCTCCCACAAGTAACTCTGGTTAAACTCAAGAAAAAACAAAAAGACATGATTGTGGAGAGAGATTCTTGGAAGGAGAGGGAGGTATTGGGGTGGTAGGGATATTAGAGTAGGTAGAAGATACAATGAACAGCATATACAATGAACACCTATGATCTGGTCAAAATAGCAAATTCAAGAGGAGTTATTAAAATAACATGGAAATTGTTAACTTTGCCAGCTAATGTGAGTGTGATAAAATAGCTCCCACAACCAAAGGGTCAGGAAACATTGGGGAGGGGAGGTGGGAAGATTCTAAGACCCAGAGGGTCAAGGAGTTTGCTGTGAGACTGGGTCTTCTGGTAGCATCTACACTCATGAAATTCTACCAAAATGGCAGTCTATACATGTGCAGAATGAGGATGTCACCAAAGATGTATTAAACTGGATGGGGACAAGTCTAGGATGCCTCAAACAAAGAGCAAAGAGCAAAGTTCTTCAATATAAAAACTACAGACACCTAAGGAATGCTGAGAGAAGGAGACATAATCTTCCCAAAGGAAGAGCACACCGGCTGGTTATCCACTACCAAATGGTCAGACCTGAAGACAGAGATAGATATAATTTAACTTTAAACATTTGAGAAGGCTGTATTTAGGAGTAACTTAGGTATGTATACATGTACATATGTATATGCATGTAACAACAATTAATAAAAAACAGAAGTCATGAATTTGAAAGCTAGCAAGAAGGGATATATGGGAGTATTGGAGGAAAAGAAAAGAAGGGAAAAATCATGTAGTTATATTATAATCACAACAAATGGAAGAAGTGATTTTAAAATGGGAAAATGGGGAGAAAGCAATGTTAGTTATGATAAAATAGATTTTAACTCTTCTCTTAAATATCTGAAACTTTACAGATAGTTGAAAGTTCTCAGCTATTCATATAATCAAAATAAAGATTAAATTGAAATAAATCACTCTTCTTTAACTTATTGACTTGAACTTCCTGAGCCAGGCCAGGTGTACACTTCTTAAAGAGGCTTCCACGTGCCCGATGCCACACCTCTCTGTTGACCCTTTCTATCAACCCCATTTGGGCACCAGAATTATTTCCTAAAGATTTCACTACATTTTTCTGGAATGTCTTTCCACTCCTGTTACTAAGTGAATTCCTCTGTATTCTTTAAAACCTGCTCCCAGACCTGATCCTCTCAGAAGTACATCTGACCTCATCCAGAGTCCCTGGATCTGTGTTTTCTGTGTCTCTTATCTCGGTCTATTTCATTCTTTTCTCCCTTCTGCTGGACGGCAAACACAGGAACTTGGTTTCTGAATGTTTCCTCTGCTGTTGGAAACTTGAGATGCACAAATGTTTGTGAGGTTGTTTCTGTGTTTTCTGTGCTACCATATTTGGAATCATTTAGCTTTTAGTGATACAAACAATGTGAGTTCAAACATTGTAAATTAAAAAGAGTAAATATTTTCTAATTCTTCCAAGTTGTGTTTGCTGTTGGATTCATTGCCTAGAATTTAAACTTTATTTCTAGAAGTGAATTTGCACAGTAAGAGTAAAATGAGAAAAATAACAAAAAATAAAATCAAAACAGTCCTACTTAGTATTCTTTCAGTCTGAAATTTTCTTTCCATCTCATAAATCTGGGTGTATGTATGTAAATATATACATATATATACATATATATGTATATATACATATATATATGTGTGTGTATATATACATATATATATGTATATATATATACATATATATATAATTTAAATTGTAGTTAATTTCCTCATAAGAAA